AGACCACCTTTACACTGAAGACCGCAAGTATTACTACTCCTCTGCTTACCTGCTGGAATATATAATCAATAACAACCAGGTAGATGTGTAAGTGTACAGTTATAAGAACTGGGCTAAAAAAATGGTCTTCCTTCCTTGTAGGTCCTCTGTTTCTGTGAAAGACGACAATGGGAGCTTCATCGGCAGCCGCAGCATGTCCTTGTGCCGGGTGCCAACCTACACCTCTCACACACTATACTGTTCTACCTGCGATAAACTGTAACTTTGGGAGATTAATGGCTTGCAGCAGTTCTTTTAATCTTCTCTTCCTTTTTGAGGGTATAAATTACACCACGCCACTTGTCATACCACCTCTGGGCATGGAACTAAAAACAATTGTGCACGTGCAGGTGGCTGCATCCACCATGACATTGCTGTAAGAACCTTAGAGCAACTCTGCAGCCTCTCTTTGTCTGATTTAGACCTGTGTTTATAAAACCTAGAAGTTAATTTACTGAAGTACTGCACTTCAGCACAGCTGTGAAATGCTTTACTTGAGTTATTCAGTTTTATTCTACTTTATACAACTTCTACATTTCACAGGGGAACACTGCATTGTTTACTCTCGCCATTGCACTTAGCTAACTTTTGTATTTTCAGAGTAATATTTTACTACTAGGGCAGCTGTAATTCAATATAAAGTGCATAGAATAAAGCCCAGTATGAATGTGTGCATGAATATGGCTTGTGAGCGAAGAAAAGCTTTGAGTGGTAATAAGACCATAAAAGCATAACATTATTATTACACTATTATTATGTTAGACTGAAGTGGATGGTGCGATTCCTTATAAAAGCCATTGTGTGGCTGTAGGAGCCCATTATAAGTGAAACGTTTTCTCTCTAAGCTGCTTCACTTGGATTCATTTAAGTAACCGTTTGAGGGCCAGACATATTTTAGAGGTAAAATAAGAAGAATAAGAGGTAAAACAAATATATGCAGTGACCCGTTGGCGGGAGAGTACCCCTCATGATGGTAGCAAATAGTCAAAACTACTAAATTGTGCAAATTTCATTTTGATAGATCAATAAATGTACTGAAATTGTCAGTGCTGGGGTTGCCACTCAAAAAAAGGAAAAAAAAAAAAAGCATTTTATATTACTCGTTACTTTTTTCAAAGTTTATGCTGTACATTAATTACATACCTTAGAAAGTAAATTATTACTCTAACTGTTACATTACTCTTACAGTACTGTGTTGGGTCACCATTCACTCAGCTTGAACATCATTCAGGGTTCTTGGCTAGCTTTTTGTTAGCATGCTGTCTGTGGAGATGCTCAGTGAGAGCTGAAGGTGTGTTAGCCATGTTATGCAGGTGCGTCTGTGTGTTGCCATTGCACTTTTATCTTTTTGTGCAGTAAAAATAAAACTAATATCCACATCTCCACTCCCCAAAAGCTGGAGATCACTCAACATTTTCCTCCATTAGAGAAACAAAGTGAAATCAGTTGATTGTGGCGGAAGCACAGAGAAAGGAAATATATTTGTTTGATTTTTTCTCTTTCTGTTTTCTCTGCACCTTTAGTGGGATTTGGAATGCCAACATTTTTGTTACTTTGTCGGTAATAGAGTGTTTTTACATTTTTTGCATTTTATGCGTCTTAATACTTTATTCAGCTCCGGAAATGTTGCTGCCAAGATTTCATAACTAAAGTAAACTAATAATAACTAATAATAAACAACAGCTCACAAGGGATCGCAAAATTACAATTAGCGGAAATGATTCATGCCTTAAATGAAAAAAAAAAAAGACTAAGTTTACATGACTTGAGAGGTACTTTCAGCTGCTCCCTTATTTCCCAGAGGTTCACTACTGCAGATGGATCCACATATTTGATTTGGCACACATTTTATACCGGATGCCCTTCCCGATACAAGCATCCCATTTATCTGGGCTGGGAACAAGCACTGGGAGTACACTATCTTCTAAGGATAGAAGGCTTGTGTTTCCTTCCAGTCTTAAACTGGGGATCCTTCATGTATAATAATAATAATAATAATAATAATGGATTGCATTTATATTTCGTTTTTCGGGGCTCTCAAAGTGCTTTAGAGTTCCACTATTCATTCACTCTCACATTCACACACTGGTGGAGGCAAGCTACAGTTGTAGCCACAGCTGCCCTGGGATAGACTGACAGAAGCAAGGCTGCCATATCGCACCATCGGCCCCGCTGGCCATCACCAGTAGGCGGCAGGTGAAGTGGCTTGCCCAAGGACACAAGTAACGACCAAGACTGTCCGAGCCGGGGCTCGAACCGGCAACCTTCCGGTTACAAGCCGAACTGCCAACTCTTTGAGCCACGATCGCCCTGCTGTGGTTGTGTTGTGTTGCTCACTACACTCAAAACGTACTCTACTTATTATTCTCTTCCAGCAAACACATCAAGAGACCTGATTATAAATATGTCTTTGACAATAAACATGCAGAAAAATATATTAGCTATAATGGCAACAGGGCAAAATACAGCAGTAATTTGAATACAACTGCAAAACATCATTATTCTGAGTGGTTCAAATCCAGTTACGTGCTAGGATTGCCCAATGCAAGTTAGCCAATCATTTTTTCAGTTTTCATTTTAATGTATGTTAATTCACTCAAAACATACCTCAGCAGGAACCTCTGCTTCTATCCTGCAGCCATTCAAGATTTACTAAGACTTTAACTTAATCTCTTTTAATTGTGCAGTTATCTTTAAGCCCTATTTAGCTGTAATTTTTTTTTCAAGCAGAAACAAAAGGCAAGACTGAAGGATTATTTATATCTTTCATTTACAGTAAGCGTTCAATTTCAGTTTTAGTATAGCCTGTATATAAAACAGGGACGTAGCCACTGTGGAACTTATTGGTGTGTGAAACTGAGTGGATAATTTTTTTCCATCTTGGTGTTTTGATAGTGGACAAGAAATCATTGTTTGGTATGGACTTGTCAATCTGTCATGTAACCAGCGTGAGGCAGGCAGAGAGTGGACAGAATTTAAAACTAAAAACCAGCTTTAAAAAAAATACAACAAAAGGCAAAATATAAAACCTAAGCGGGACAGGAACGGACAGACAGACTGCACCATGAGAGAGAACAGAGGGGGACGCAGACAATATTTAGACAGGGGGGTGATTAAGGGAAGAGGAGACACATGGGAACACAGCTGAACTGAATCATAACTAACGAGACAGGGGAAGCAAAAATAAAACAGGAAATAACACACACACACACACACTGAGACTCATACATGTGAACCTGACACTGGGACTGGGGATAAAAAGACATGGAGACACGAGAGACTTTCCTGGAATTCAGTCATGGCTCTAACATAAGAAAATATGCATAAAAATGCTTTTTTATTCCCCATACTATCATGGTTAGTAATTGTCAGCAAGATCAGACATGAGAGTAACAGCTTCTGTTTCAGTAACAGCCGCTAACAGCAACAAAAACAGCATCGCTAACCAGCCGCTCAGGAATCAAAAGCTCAGTATATCACCTCAGTATCACTGTCACTAGACAGAAATGAGCTTTGTCGACTCATCAACCTCACACTGGACTCCTTTGACAAAGTTTTGCAGCTTTCCCAATAGTAAATTTACTCTGCTCAGGGAAGCAGTGAGCTAACAGCCTACTACAGATAACTGTGAAGTGTTTGAGTTTTTTTCAAGTGTTGACATTATTCAGACACTTTAACATATAATGAGTAAAAATAATGTATACTTTACAGTCAGTTTTGGCAGTGGCATAAAGTTTGTTTTACATGCACTTTTGATTCTTCAGTTTTTATTTGTTGTTTTTGCACATTTTTACGACGCGGTGAATAATAATCATGAGGGTTTCATAGGTTTTGACCTCTTTTATTGGCAAATTAAAAAAACAAACAAACTTTGTTTCAGCCGTGGTGCCATTCCCAAAACTTTTAGCCACACTATAGAGGAAACTTGCTGGCTGTCCACGACCATTATATGGTGGCCCTGAAAGGTTAAACGCACTTCAACACCAGCAAGTACAAAAATGCACAAACAAACACCAGAAAAACTCATAAAACGACTCACAAAACACAAATGAAGAGAGAAAAGCTGCAGAGGTGGCAAGCTAACAGTTAATGGCTAATAGCAATCTGCTTCTTAAAGGTGTCTCAGTCCTTTGCGTGTCTTTGTTTCGTTGTGTTTTTTGTGTTTTTGTAGCATTTTTCTCTTTGCTGGTGTTTTCTTGGTGCTGGTGCATTTGACCTCTCAGGGCCACCGTACCATCATGGGCTACAAAGGGTTATGGCTTAGCCTACAAGGGGTCTTCATTCCTTCTGTTGCCTCTAACACTAACTATAATTTATTTATTTTATAGAATAAGACCTGAAACTACAGATTGAGACCGTGAACTCTTTAGCGGAGTCTTTATGAGTCTTGAAGTGAGTGTTTTTCTACACAGTCGCCTTATTTTTGCATCCAGAGGAGTCTCCCCCTGCTGGTTAGCAGATTTATTGGCCTCACTTGTTAGACTCAGAATATACATTTACATTTTTAATGCAATCTGTGGATGTTGGCAATGCATTCTGAAGAAGGTGAATAAGTTGTTTGAAAAAGAAAAGAGTCTCCAATCATTAGACTGTCTGAGGATCTCACCTGTAACCTGGAATCTCTGACCCAATTCTTTCTCTACAGGTATCTTTTTCTTCTTGTTTGGTACAACGCCTCCATCTCCATCCTGTGGAACTGGCTCCCTTTTCGTAACTTGAATTTCTTTCATTCCTCTAAGATTTGATAATGAGCTGTGTTTCTGAGTCCAGCAGCTACTTAAAAATTTACACATGCCTTCAGGTTTTTTCTTCCTTCTGTGTAATAAGCAAAGCACAGCTACCTAAATCCTAAGGGAGCTGTAGTCTTAATTTTATCTCCCTCCCATTCATTAATACAGTGCCTGTAGCTACCTGTGTTAGGTGTAATTGGGACACTTGCAAGCTTCACCTTTTATTGAAAGGTGCTCCATTGATGAGCTGACTACCACGCTGGAGAATGAAGATAGCCAGAAGGCTCGCTTCTGCTTCCCAGTGTTCCACTTCATTGAGCAACAGAATGAGACCATCTCCACCTGCTATCTGCACTGCACCACCCGACTCTGCGAGTGCACTTCCTGCAGCACCTTCAAGGTAGGAGGGTAGCGTATGAATTTCAAGCAGAAATCTCCAATTCAGGCCAGATCCCCAGCTCATATCTCCACATATGGCCTGATCCACAGCAATGCCAGAGGAAGAGGCGGAGCATGAGGAGCACAGGGAGCACAGTGGTCCAGGAGGGCATCGCCGAGCCGTCTGTGCTCACAGTGGCTATAAGAACCGTATGTTTGTCTTTCTTTTTCTGCAGATTTCAGACGGTGCATCTAAAAGCGATCCTCAAATACGCCACAGAGACATGAATAGCATTCGGGTGGTAGAGCTCTGTATCATTAAAGGCTCAGTTTGACGTTTTGAGAAATGCTGTTCACCTCCTTGCTCAAAGTTTAATGAGAAGACATACTACGCTCACCCATTTTTTATGTTGAACTGAGCTAACGATCTGCACATACACTGTGACTGTACAAGTTTAACACTGGTATCGATACTCTGATCCGCCTCCAGCACTGAGGTGGATGCCTGTTGAGGGGCCTAAATGGAGAAAAAATAACAATGACTATAAAACAAAACACAGAAAATCATTCACAGAATTCATTATGAGCAAAGGAGAACAGATAAAAGGTTATAAAACCTATGATAAGGACGAATAGTCTGACTCCTACCTTCAATCAGTGTTTCGCTTTTGGCAAATGTGTAGTTTGAAACATGGCAAAAAAAGAATAGAAGCTCATTACACCTTTATGATATTTCTTCTGGTTTCCCTTTTCTCCTGTAATTTAATTTTTCTCTCCAATATTTTGATAATTATAATATTGTGTCTCTCATAATGAAATATTGATGTTTCCCATCTTTCTTGCAGCCATTCTCTCCAAAGAAGAGGCTAAGTGTGTTATGTATTAACTCGACACCAATGAGAGCAGCTATTCACAAAGTTTTTTACTAATTAAATTCCTCCAGAAATGAAAGGACTTTCTTATCTGCAGCGAGTCATGTCATCGTCTCTTGTCTGCTGAAATAAAAGCACCCCACAATGGCGTCCCTCTCATTTGTGCACAGCGCTGTCTGGTGGACGGTCTGATGGAAAGGGCGCATCTTTTGCCCTGGGAATGGTCGCTGCTCTACTCACTGTGGCACGGCTGGTAGCCATTTTGATGGTGGCATCTTTTTTTTTTATTGAAAATTGAAGCGGCTGAGCTAGCAGCAGCACATAATATTGATGAACAGAGGTCAGTGCAGGGTAAACGACATGATGAGTTTGACAGGGTGACATTCACATACGAGTGGAGGTGTGTAATGTATATATGTAAGACTTAATCAAAGTGATTGATTGGAGCACTCGCTCAATCCTTCAGAGTATTTCGAGCTATGAAAGGTGAAGTCTGAGTAATTGTCAAAAGACAGAAAGAAGCTCAGCTGTCATCATTTTTGTGAAACATACTTGTTTGAGGAAGAGGGTGGAGTAATGAATGTAATATTTTTTGGTTCATCACTGAGTTTTAGCAGCATTGTTATCTGAATTCAACAAACCCTTCTTTTTTCCAGAGGCTTTAAGTTAAACTACTCAACTGGTCATTAACACAAATGTCGAATCAGCCAATCACATGGCAGCAACTTATGTAGACATCATCAAGATGACCTGCTGAAGTTCAAGGCTAGCAACAGAAGGAGGAAGAAAGGTGAGCGATTTTGAATGTGGCATGGTTGTTGGCACCAGATGGGTTGATCCAATATTTGAGGAGAATGACCCGACTGCTTCAAACTGATAGGAAGGTACAGTAACTCAAACAGCTCATTATAACCTGGATGTGCAAAAGAGCATCTCTGAATGTAGAAAAGATGGGCTGCAGCAGCAGAAGACCACACCTCGTGGCACTCCTGTCAGCTGAGAACAGGAACCTGAGGCTACAATTCACATGGGGACAGAAGACTGAAAACATGTTTCCAAGTCTAATTAGTTTTATTTCTGCTGTAACATTCAGATGGCAGGATCAGAATTTGGCCTAAAGATCATAAAAACTTGGATTCGTCCTGCCTTGCTTCAACGCCTGTGGCTGGTGGTGGTGTAATGATGTGGGGGATATTTTCTTGACACACTCTGGAATTCTTAGTACCAACTCAGCATCGTTTAAACGCCATCCCTTCATGACCGCAGTGTGTGCATCTTCTGCTGGCTGCTTTCTGCTCCCTGCACGATAATGTGTCATCTCACAGAGCTCAAATCATGTCAAACTGGTTTCTTGAACATGACACTGAGTTCACTGTACTCGAATGGCTAGTCCCAATCCGGTAGAGCAACTTTGGGACATGGTGAAACTGGAGATTTGCATCATGAATATGTTGCTGACACATCTGCACCAACTGTGTGATGCTATCATGTTAATATGGACCAAAATATCTGAGGAATGTTTCCAGTACTTCATTGAATCTATGAGATAAGGAATTAAGGCAGCTCTAAAAGCAAAAGTGGGTCCAACCCAGTACTAGCAAGGTATACAGCGAGTATATCTTCAGCACACAGACATTTCCTGGCAACAAAGTGAATAAACATATTTTTCCATAATGTGAGGGGGGTCCTCTACTATTTATCTGGCATAGCAAAAAAACAGAAAAGGCGGCTATAAGTTAGCATTGCTACATTCCTGTCTCGCATTTAATTTGCCTTACTGTCAACATGCAAATAATCTTTGATTTAAACACTCGGCTTCTTGTTTATTTGGCGAGCAGTTCATAGATAAAAGTCTACACAACTGGAACACGGACGACACGCAGTGAACTGCACATGATGTATTTCTAATAATCTTCTAATTCCAAACCTGCGTGTGATGGTTTTACACTCAGCATAGATTCGCTCACGCAAGCCAGCTCTGATGCACTGCTAAATAAGTACAACGTTACATTCCAGACTACAAGGGATAATTAAATGATAAAAGTATCGCACAAAAGAGAAGAAGTGGGCATATATGGTTATTTATCAGCTGTTTCTATGGTGTATTCCTGAAAAAAAATTAATTTAGTTATACTTGCAATACAGTATCTTCAGAAGGTGATTTGTTACTGATGTGTATATTTGAGTCAATTTTCCATGCATGGATTATTACTATTAAAGCTTACAGTGTTATCGGAGGCATACGATAGAAGTGCTGTGTTAGACTGCATCTTACGGTCTGCATGAAACAATTCCTGACATACAAGAAGGCTTTGGATGTCTTGAGTTCAAGGAAATGAAAAGGATTAATGCATTAAACTGAGTAAAACTGGCACACATACTTTTTGCTGTTTTATAACTGGAGGCATGTGGATCGTACACAAGAAACGAATCCCAGTATTTGAAATTTATGCTGTCAGGAATTTCCTTCGGTCTAACGTTTGATGTGCACAGAAGATAAAAGAAAGTTTGTTTTGAGGTTTGCAGGGTGATGCTTTTGTAATGGTCCACCACTAGAGGGTGTCTAATCACCATTTTTTTTCCTAATCTCTTTTTTTAAGGCTCTACTGTTTACTTTTCAACAGTGCCTTTAATTAATACATTTTGAGCACAGGAATATCCAGGATAGAGGATTTAGATCGGATTAGCCTTCGTAGATCCCCACAATCTTAACTTTTCGCCACATCTCTTAAAAATAAATTATTTTGGCTTTCAGAAAACCAGAGAAATCTACAGGCTCTCTGTTTTTCTGGCCATGATCGGCGAGAGATCGATTTCTGAAAAGTGAAACGTCTTCCCATGTACACCATAAAAAGAACAAGCAAAGCAATCAGCTGACTTGACAAACGATCTAATTAGGAGTTGCAGTATTGTTAAGTAGGCCATGACAAACCTCACGACAAGACGACCCACTTTGAAGCATGAGGGGGATAAATCAGCTGAGCTGGAAGGCAGTGCTCCATTACCACTGCAGTAACTGTATGTTCAGGATAAATCTCCCATTTATGAGTTCCCTGTAATTTAATTAAACCAACAGGGATAAACGTGTGCTCTGTTGCTCTCTAATGGTGTGGACATTAACCTTTGAATCCAGCTGCTTTGCCCTCTAAAATGTTAATAGCCGCGGGGGATGAGCAGCAGCTAGAAATCTGTATTGCACTTCCATATGTTGCTCATGACAATGCACATTTTAATCACCTTTTCTTTAAAGTCATGTTGCAGTGCATCTCTAAAGGGAGTGTTTTTTTGTTGTCTCTCATTCTTTTTGCTAGTTTTTTTTTTTTTAAAATCTGTCTGCTGTGTCTGAGGATTTGGGCTCTTTATTATAGACCTTTGCGTTTTGGCCAGTTTTGTCCTCAGCTGAAAGAATAATTGTCCTGTCATTTCCATTCTAATTAATATGCATATGAGTCTGTCTGTAGGCTATACATTAGGCTTAGCAGACAGCGCAATCATAAAAAATTGATGGACCAGCTGCAATTTAGGACGAGAAGACTCGTGCAACATGAAGACTGCTGGAATATGATGACTTTGAATAAACAGTGTCAGAGTCTTGCTAATAGGATGACGTGATGCGTTAATGTGCTAACAGAAAATAAAACTGGATTTCTTTTCTTGTCAAGGCAGAAGAAATATAAAATACTTCAGCAAGATAACACCGGACTGCTGAGGAGGCGAAATCAAACTGGAAGGTCCAGCTGTTCCATTAACCTTTTGTAATGAAGCAGAAGAGATGTGAAACTTGGTGAAATGTAATGTCGAACGTTGAGAGGAAGAAGAACCGTGAGCGAACAGGACAGCAATGCTTCAGCAGTAAATCCTCTGTGTCTTTATATGAATTTTTCAACATCTGAAGAAATACAGTAATTGGGTTTCTTGCTGAGAACTTGATGAACTATTACTCGCATACCTGAACTAACAGCCGTGCTGGGGTTCCTCAGCGTAACAAAATCCACCTATCAGCTTCTCTAATTATACCTTTATGTCTTAATTTGGTTGTGTCATTAAAAATAGTCTTGCACACAATCTCTTGTAAAAACTTAATGGATTTTGTTACCTTTTGTTATCTTTGGAGCCATGCTAATCCCCATTTTCACCAGTCTTTGTGCTCGGCTTAAAGCTAAGCTAACTCTCTGGGCTTCAGCTTAGCAGTAGCTAACAGACAAATGTAACAGTGGTGTCAGTTTAACTGTTTGCACATTTTAGTGGGGTGGTCAACTGGCCTTAACGGAAGACTTTTTATGCAATCCCATTTTCCAAGATCCCACTGATAATTTGAAAACGGCACTAATATGAAGGTAGCATGGTAACAGCCATAGCTGGAGGAAGGTGTTTCAGGTAGATGGTGCTATGGGGATGACACTATGTGTTATGGTG